AGGCTTAATATATTGGCACGTCCTTTTTTATAAAGGAATTCTTGACCTGCTTTCTTCTGAAAAATGCTGGAAGCTGCCATCTATCTACCCCCAGTTTATATGTTGATATGGAAAAAAAGGGAGGAAGGTGTATCATGTTATAGATGCTTTCACTGAGCTATATGCCTCGATGTGATCTAGGACATGATAACATGATTTTATTGGTACATATTCATATTGTTATTCTAAAACTTTGCCTGTAACTATAATATGATGTGTGTCTGCTGCACTTACAGAGGTCATTTGTAATCTCAAGGAGGCTTTTCCTTTTTAAATAAGTTTTAAATAAATAAATATAAAAGTACAATTGAACTGTAATTTTTTGGGGAGTCAGTTTGCATTCATAGCAAGTTAACACTTGGAATGGAAGATGTTTGAACTGGCTGTCCATTACTTTTTGCAAACTAGGCCAACTTCAACTTTTCTGCTTTGCTTGCTGACTCATTATCAGGCACCCTCAATCGCAACATGTTACAACTAACCAGTGGTAGGAATGTAAATCACAAGTTTCATCATGACACCATATTGATTCTTTGGACAATAAAATTATATTTGATTCAATTGTGATTCGATTCAGTTCAGGGGGCTGTGGTTGATGTGAGGTGGTATCAGTAAATATCCCCATTGTCTTTTTTTGGCTGCTTACCATTGTCTGTCTGGCGCTAGGCTGCTAGCACTGTTTGAAATATTTAGGAGGGAGGCTTGCTTGGAAGTAAATGGTGACACAGACGTGCCATGGGAATTTCAGTACAAAGGTGTATCTTGAAGATGACAATATGTACCGATGTTCACATTTATTGGATTGTTGACCATTGAATCATTATAGTGATCCAGATGGAGGTATCATTACAATTGTAGCCAGTGGTGGACTATGGTTTATGGTTTATTACTGTATTCACACAAAGTTTTGAGGTACTTGTACTTTACTTGAGTATTTTTATTTTATGATGCTTCATACTTCTACTCTACTACATCTCAGAAGCACATATTGCACTTTTTATCTGATAACTTTTCAAATCCAGATTTTACAGTCAAAACATGTCATCAGTATATAAAATAATGATGCTGTGTTTTAGATTGAACCACCCCAGGACATGTAAAGCATTTAAAATTAGCTTCACCTCAACCAGCTATAACATTTAAAGCTATAGTTGGTACTCCTGTTCAGAAACACTTCTTGTTATACTGGGTGAAATGGTCCTTCCATCCTGAGAGTAGTCAATACATATTGTGTCCAGAAAAAGGAATGAAAAAAATCCGACCTCTGTGGCAGCTGCAGGCCTGTAAAAACTCTGACCAATCCCTACCATTCAGTGCGAATGGAAAGAACTAATCAGATGCCTTCATGTCTTGTCCTGCCCAAGCCCCCCTCCGTCCCTCCCTCCCTCCTCCCTGCGTGCACTCATCACGTGTTACCATTGCCGGAAATATTCAGCACACTCCTCAGCAGAAATACCGAGTTAGCAGGAGTTTGCTGAACAATGGCAGAGAAAATGCAGCCAATAGTACCACTTCCAGCATTACTTGTAATGGCTCACCCCACTAAACAGGGTGAGAAAAGAGGCTGAGGCGGAAAAGGCTGCGACGAAAAAGGCTTTGGATAAAGCAAGAGGACAAACCAGACATCAACATCCGTGCAGCTTTTGAACGGTGGAGACAACTGAGGGAGCTTAAGGGCCTGAAAAGTGATGCAGAGGTTGCTGTCTTTCTGTTGGACAGGTAATTATTTGTTTGCTTCAGGGGGATTTGTTATTTTACTCGGCTCTCCTCTGCCCTGCTGAGTCTGACTCCTACTGCAGGATGTGCGTTCAAGCTTGTGGGGCCGTGGCTTTGGACCAAGCACTGACAGGAGGGTGAGGAGGGGGTGGAGCTTAGAGGAGGTGCCGCTTTCAAATCTTGCTAGCTCTCCAACATTGCCAACTATAGCTTTAAATACTTTTTACATGTTAATACATTGATGAGTACATTGCCTGATAATACCTAAGTACTTTAACTTTAGTGAAATTTTGATTGCAGGACTTTTACTTATAGGTACTTACTTTAAGTATTTCTTGATACTTCTCTTTCTTCTATTTCGTAACTATTTTTACTTAAGTAAATGATTTAAATACTTCTTTCCCCACTGTATGCACTGTGCAGTAAGCCTTTTGACTGTTAGACCATATTGCTGAAATTTCAATATATACAAGTGCTGCATAGAGTTTGCTTGCTTCATTGTGAATTGAAGAATGAAGCTATGTATAAACATCGGAGAGGAGTGAGACACTTGTACAGTTAAAGAAATTTTATCCAAGCTGAAAGTGACCCATTGGTTTGTGGACTTTTGTTTAAAGCCTTGAGTTTGACATTACATCGGTTGCCATCGGTTTATTGGAGCCAGAGATGACCATATTTGGGTGAGAGGATGGCACTGTGGAGAAGCAAGAGGTGGGGACACCATTGGCAGACAGCCTATCACTCAGAGAGGCCCCATCTTAATTATGCGTAACTTTAAGCCTAAATAAAATGGAAACAGGTGACTTTTCAAAAAATACAGTTGTCATGAATGTTAAATTACCTATGGAGACCAAAACCAATTTTAAGTTTATTTCTGCTGTAAAGTTGGCCATTTTAACATGGGGGTCTATGGGGATTTACTCTCTTCTGGAGCCCGCCTCAAGTGGTCATTCAAAGAACTGCAGTTTTTGGCACTTTGTGTTGGCCTCATCTTTCAGCCCTGGAGGTTACTGCTTGGGGTTAAGAAAGGACAAGCAATAAGCAGCCATGGCAAATACATTTGAATTTGTGCATACAGAAAACATAGAAAGTAGCTGACTTGAGTAGAAAGTGATTATCAGATACAATTATAGTCTGCATAAAAATAACTGACGTAGCCACCATGGCAACACCCATGTATTTGTGGACTATTTTGAAGCCTCAAGTTTGGCTTTTTGGCCGTTGCCATCTTGGATTTTTTTTTTTTAGAAGTAATGCTGTTTGTGGCACCATTGCAATGGCCTATTTTTTCAGCCCCAGGGATACAGTGTGTTCTTTCCTTGTTGGTCGTGGATACATGTCTTGCCTTCTTATTAGTTACGTAAGTGTGCCAAGCAGTGCAGGTAAGAAGGTCAAATGTTTGAATATAGTTTAAGCAGCATCTTGAATTTCAGTAACTCAAAACTGCACAGGTGATGAATAAGCACTTCTTTGTTATTAGATTCATTTCATGGCATTGCTTCATGGACATTTTCTAATAGGGTAGGACTACAGTGCAACAGGACTATTTATGTAACCATAATGTAATAAGGCCTTAATTTAATAAGCATGGACCCTATGTGAAAACGAAGAAAGAATGATACATGTAGCCTGGAGTTCACATTGTTTATTCAGTATTAAACTAAGAGATTTTAATGTGACTTCCAGGACAGCAATTCAAATTGACATAAAATGGGGGTAGTGTAAACAAAATGACATTATAGTGGACTACAGTCTAGTAACAATTCAGCTGGGCTAGAATCATTTTACGAGTACTAGCAGAGGTGGCCAGCCCTTTAAACCAATATCCAAATTACATCTCATAAAAAGATAATAAATCCATGAAAGTCAACAGTTACAAATTTCTGTAATCAAGGTAATTCTAAGACAAAATACTGATAATACTGAGTATGGACAATGTTGAAAGTAAACATGGGTTTTCTTCCAGTATTACTATAATAGCTTGATTGAGAACAAATATTTGGAGATCCAGTCTGACACAACATCAATTCCGTATCTCCAAACCATCTCAACAATCCAGAGAATGACCCCAATGTAAGAACAGCGTTCATCTGGGGACTTTCTATGTCCAGACAGCGTTTTCCATCTCCAGACCAAGCAAGTAGTGTTTTCCCTCCCTCCAGACTGCCTCCATCCTCTGCAAATTGCAAAGCACTTCTTAGCATAGACATAAAGTCGTATTTAATGATCAAGCCATAAAATATTATTCCAACATCATTAAATAAAACTTAAATGATGTGTTCACTGTTTTTCAACCCAAACCTTATTAAAAATGTTGTTTCACATGATTTATGTTGTACTGACAGACTTAGCACTCTGCTGCACCTCCTCACTGCACTTTACAGTCCAACAGGACCTGCTCAAAAACTCAGGTGAAGCTACTTTTTGGAAACCAGGAACCTCACAGGAGAGTCAGACATGTTTATATGATTACTGCCAAAAAGAGAGTTGCAAAGCCATGCTGTCTGTCACAGGTAGTTTTTTTGTTGACTTTATTCCTCCAGTTACATCTGAGCTGGAGACAGGAATTTGAGCAAAGTAAAAATCAGTTCAACATAATGGGAAGCAACGTTTGCGAGCACAGATAAGCCTGTCTGGGAGCTTCCCATTTATGAAAACTGTGTTTATTTTGATTTTGAAGGCCTTAAAGATAGCCCCTTTTGACTGTGTTTGAGTCCAGTGAGACGCTGCAGCAGTGGTAAGAATCTTGAAATGTGAGTGAGGTTGTGGTTATGCACAGTCATAAATGATAGGAAACAACACGTCGATTGGGTTGGGTCAATAAACAGTGAAACTATTGTTTTTGCTGTAAAATGAGCAGGTTGGAAACATATGTTAATATGCAGTCATAGTCCTGCTTGCCTTAAAGGGACAGTGCATCTCAAAATCAAAGACACATATTTTTCCTGTTACTTGTAGTTTGATCTTTTAATCTAGATTGTTTTGGTGTGAGTTGTTGAATGTTTGAGATATCAGCTGTAGAGATGTCTGCCTTCCCTCCAATATAATGGAACTAGATGGCACTCGGCTTGTGGTGCTCAAAGTGCCAAAAAATGTATTTAAAAAACTCAACAGCAATGTCTTTTTTTTCCAGAAATCATAGTCATAGTTACTCCGGATAATCCACAGACCTTGTTGTAAGCAGTTTCATGTAGGAACTATTTTCCTTCTACCAAACTACATCTGCCAACTGTATCACCATGCAGAAGGAAGTGTGCATCTACTCATAAACGAGAGACTTGTGCTCGGCTCATGCTTGTGACAGCACAAGATGTATAATAGCGGTCCCCTTGGCCGAGCTGTGACATTAGATTGTTCAGTGGTGTTAGGTTAGCTAGCTTCCTTTTGTGTGGTGATATAGTTGGCGGATGTAGTTTGGTAGAAAGTAAAAAGTTCCTGCATGAAACTGTTCACAACAAGGTCTGTGGATTATCTTGAGTAAGTGGGTCATGATTTCTGGAAAGAGACATTGCTGCTGAGTTTTTCTGTTGAGTTTCTGGTCCTATGAGCACCATATGCGGAGTGCCATCTAGTGCCATCATCTTGAAGAGAAGGTCAACAGCTCTACAGTTGGTATCTCTAACACTCAGCAACTCACACCAAAACAATCTTGACTGATAAATATGCTACAATTAAGAGGAAGATATGCACATTTTGAATTTGGAGGTGAACTATCTCTTTAACAAAGCAGTTTGATGAAAGCAAGATGAAGTGTTCATCGTAACCCTGCCAGCTAACAGGCAGAGTAGCTGCACTGTTGTCACCAGTGGAGGCCAGCTATGCTAAAATTAGCTTATTAGCTAACTAACATTTGTAGACTCATTTTTATTATTTGTCATGATTAATCTCTGTTGTTGACAAACCAGATTTGTTTTTTGTTTTTTTTATCACTCCTGTAGACCACATCACTGTGACGTCATGCTAACAACAACATTCACTTCCAGGTAGACACAATTGTAGAGATATGTGCAATTGGCATATTTGTTGGTTTCTGTTGTAATTTTCAGCCATAACTATAATGTTGAAAGACATATAGTTAAACACTTGGGTCCAACCTATCTGACATTTCTGCTGTGCCAATGTTATGTACTGTGTTGCTTTGCTATCATCTTTGATAAACTAAATCTATCAGCACAGAAGCTCAGGTATGTACTGCTGTGGATGTAACTGCAGCAAAATTTAATGTAGTCTCACAATAAAATCTATCAGTGTGAGTGTACACTATATTTAGTATATTTCCCCCGCTTTATCTTTGATGCTAACTAAGGGTGGGGGAAAAAACTGATACAGCAAAGTATCACGATATTTTCATCACGTGTCATGGAGCATTTTTTTTATCATATAAATTACTAATATTACAAATAGAAATTAAACTTTTAGTAGCCTACTAGAATAATAAAAGAAAATTGCTTTTCAGTCCACTAGATACATCTTGCTACTGCAAAAAAAAAGTTAAAAAAAAAAAAAAAATGGCTTAATTAAGATGAACAGACTTAAACTTACTTCCTTTGGTGAAATAATTTACAGTTGAAAAAAGGTAATATATCGCCACATGTTTTATCGCAATACTCAGCATATCACAATAATATTGTATTGTAACTTGAGTATTGTGATAATATCGTATCATGGATCCTTTGGTTATTTCCACACCTAATGCTAACTGATCAAAGCGGCGACGGACTATTAACTCCAGTGTTCTGCTAAGTAAAATTACTGTTTGTGTCAGTGGAGTCTGGTGGCTTCAATATGATGGCTTCAATGACGTCTATCTCAAATCGCTGTCTGACAGCAAAGTAAAGTGGTGAAAATATTTAAAATATAGCATACACTTAAACTGATATTTATTTTTTTGGTGGACTTCTTTTAGGTGTCTAAAAACGAATTACTTGAGGCGGCATTAGTTTAGTGCTATTTGATTTTATGTGTGTTTTATGTTTTCTACCTGGAAGTTATTGTAGATAAACATTGTGATTCAGCCTATTGTTTTGTGACTTGGTAGGTCTGGCAACAGAGAACACATCCCCAGATGAAGCAACATCGTCAGAATCGGCATTTGGAATATGTTTTAAATTCAAACAAATGACATTGTTATCACATCTATACACATTACATAATCCAGTTCTCCCTTCATAAATCTCTCTGTACTGTAAAGAAATTGCATTGTTTTCCAGGGCTCTCCAGGATTTTGTCTCAGTTGAGTTGGAACATGTGTCAAAATTTGAAACACGTTCAATCTGATATAAACAGACATGAAGAGTCATATTATCTTCGCAAGCTGATTTCCAAAAAACTTGCATTTTCTGCTTTGGTGTTATCAGGTGGATTTACAGCCTTAGTGTATAGTCTTAATCAACAGTGTTATATTTCAGCCCTTAAAAATAGGGTTTAACCAACCACAGCCACATTAGCATAGCAAAGACCCTTCAAAGTACAAGCAAGTGTAGGTCTAGAAACCAAGGTCCAGTAAGAGGAAAACTCTTTGGTATTTCCAAGGAAAAAAAAGGATTGCACAAACAGTATTTGATCAGAGAGGAGAGAGATTTGTATCAAGTTATTTTAAAATGCACAACAGATCTAGGTGACATCTCAAGAGGTATTGGGTTGGTGAAGGTATGCATCTGAGCGTACGAGAGTGCGGGCCTGTTATCAAAAGAGTACCATTCATACTACGAGCGTATGGATCTAACTTAGCATAATGTCGTGAGATTTTCACTCAAGGAATTAAATTAGATGTTGAGCAATGTCTGCTGAACAGAGAGCCCGGCGAAACCCGATAACACAGAAATGTGATTTTCACATTAGAGGAGAAATGCAAATATCTTCACTAAAATCTACAAAACAAGGATTAATAGAGATTTGGTAAAGGCGAGGAATCTACTTGAAAATTCAGACCTTAAGCTAAGCCAAGGCCATTTGTTCACATAGCAAGAACGACAAAGAAAAATGAAATGTATTTAAAAAAAGAGATGATGCCTTCCAATCCTCTACCAGTCCTTTGCCAGTTCTGACCATTCAGATGAGGAGGAAATCACTGAATACAGCTGAAGACCCTCCAAACAAACAATGTACGAGTCACCATGATGTGAAACATTAAACGAGGAGAGACTTTTGATTAAGAACTCTCTCCCTTCACATGTTAGAGGAGAGAACGTGTCCATGACCGATGCTATCAACCATTCGCTCTGATGTCCATCACTTACAGTACTCATTTAATGGGACCCATCTTCAGGCTGATGCATGACGCGATCATGTTTCTTCTCTGAATAAGTCTGTTAAGTGAGATGCATATTGACAAAAGAAGTTTGTAATATTGCCACAAGCCACCATTAATGTTTTTTCTATTTTGTGCATTGCAACAAGGACAAAGACAGCAGTGGATTTAACATCCTCCGCTAAGGGTGTGTGTGTGTGTGTGTGTGTGTGTGTGTGTGTCACAAAGGCCACTGTAAGCAATCTAACTGGAAGACTTTAACCTTGCCAAGGACAGGAGGACAGACTACATTTCTACTGAGATCTGAGCATCCATTTTCCCATTATGCTGCTGCTCTTATCTTCAGAAACACTAAAATCCGGTTAAATGGAGCCATTTTCTCATTTGCCTTTGGAGGTCATTTTTCATGCTTGGAGAACTCCAGTCATTCAGATGGCACAAGGGGCTCCATTGTAATAATAGCTTGTTCTGTGAGGGTCCAGAGGCCCGGTCTACACAGCCTCGTGGACCACAGCTGGAACTCACTCCGCACCATACATCCAGCTGTGTAGCAATGGACCGACAGCAAAGACAAGGCGGGGAAGCTACTGTCCCATCATTTGATCAATAAAGGAGGGAAGAATTCACCAGTGACTGCTTTCAGCAGCTTTTTCTTGGCAAACCTTGTAAGAAACATTGGACATTTTGTGAAGCCAACTAGGCCAGCCATATAGTGTAAACCACAGAGCCCAGGCAACAAAGACTGGGTGGTGCACTTCTCAGCTCTGATAAGGCACTGGTCGAAGTTGTTCCTGGGCTTGTGGGAGTGTGTAGCAGACGTCTACTTTGCCCCCTGTGGTGGTGGCGGGGGTCCTCAGGAGGAGAAGCAAAGGCTGCAGCACTCCATGCAGATCTCCAGGCAGTCTGCAGACTCACAGCAGGCGTCGATGATGCCACAGTCCATGTCGCAGGGCAGGTCACAGTCGCCACACTCCTCCGAAGCACAGCAGCAGCAGAAACACGAGTCGTCACCCGCACAGGAGCCGCAGGTGGCGCAGTCCAGCACGATGTTACACAGAGTTAGGAACTCACAAAAGAGGCAGGCCAGAATACAGTGGACACAGCAGTCTGGGGAGAAAGAGAAGCAGACAGATTGAGTTTCTTAATGTTCACCAGTCATAATTATTTTATGTAACCAGTTTGTCTTCTAATAGGCTTTTCTTTTTCTCCTTTATCCAGTATTTTCCTTCTCTGTGTGCTTTGGCATCACAAACGTATTTACATGTCACGCCAATAAAGCAAACTGAAATTTAAAAAATGAAACTGAGTCATAAATAGTTTGGCAGTGCAGTCACTGTGATAGGTCAGAAATCATGAGACATGATGGAGTAATTAACTCATATAAAAACATTTTTCTTCAGAGACTAAGGACTGCCAATGTCCTGGTGGCATTAGCACAAAAACTTGCTCTTGAATAGAGAGTAAAAAAAAAAACAACCTAATTTCTGGTGTTACCAAATCTCCTTTAGTAATAAGCCTTTTATCTTTACCTCTCTGCTCAACCACAGAACCACTCCTCTTTGTAAAGCTCTCAGTGTCGGTGTTAGTCATGCAGAAGACAGTACAGTCTGTACTTGTAAGTGTTTGTTAAAAGGAACAGTTACGTTAAACTGAAAATGACTAACACTAGGGCTGCACAATATATTGCTTTTTATCTTTATTGCGATGTCAACTTGCGTGATGAACACATCGCGGAACACTGGGATATTCCACTTTTAAAATACTAACAATGTATTAATTACTTCCTGTCTTTAGGCACTATTTGTTGGCCAATCAGACAGAGCCCTCGTTGTCAGGCATCAGCTGACTGCACATATGCTAGTGAGGTTTATTAGACAAGTGCTGCTGTACTATTCTGAAAAAACTGACAAGATGAGTGCAGACAAAAGTGCCAATGCTAGAGAGGAACTGGTGCCTAAAAAAATAGCTCTTCAGCTGTCTGGCAGTATTTTGGATACAAGAGAGACGATGTGGCACAAGCACAGGTATTGCGCAAGTCTGAGTCGGGAACTGAGTACACTTTCATACCTTTATATTTTTCACAGCTAATGTTGTTAATGCCATATTCAACAATGTTATGGCATATCACATATTTTCTTCATATTCTGCAGCCCTGATAAATACAGTACTATTTGCAGTTTGCCACGGATCCAGATTGTTTACTTTTTAAGACACTAAAGTTGACACAACCACTGAAGCCATGACAAGAGGATGGATACAAAAGGAATGACAACATTAATGTATTTAAATATTTTCCAGCCTGAAGCATTTCTCCTTTTGTTTTTGAAAAATCATTTTTCAGTGGAAATGTGCAGTTGGTAAAGTTTTATAAATGCAATTACAATGCAAATTTTGAGTGGGTACAACAATACACTTTTCAGCTGAGCTCTGGGCTGCTGCTTTTTATGTTTATGTTAAACTACTAGTGCTAATTAATGGCAAAACCTTAGAAAAAGCAGTGATTTCTATTACTGCTTTTTGGGTTGGAGAAGATGTGCAAAGAATTCTGATCCTCCTCTATGACCAGAAGTGTGGAATAAAACTTTGAACCTTGCTAACTATCCCTCCCTCTCCTGCTGCCCCCAGCCCCTCCGTCAGTTTCTGTATCTCACCGTCCTGTGCTTCTGTGGGAATCTGGGAGCTGTTGCTCTTGGAGCTGCTCTTGCTCCTCTTGCTGCTCTGGGAGGTGATGGAGGGGTTGGACTGCAATTTCTTGGTGTGCTTGGGTCCCGCCGAAGAGGACGAGGAGGTGGATGATCCGCCTCTGGGGAGGGAGCCCAGCTTAGGATGCTCATGAGGGCCCCCGTTCCTGACCCCATTGGACTGGAGGGTGTGCGTGTGAGGTGTGTGTGTGTGATGCGGACAGTGCGTGTGAGGGGAGTGTGTGTGCGCGTGGTGCTTGGCTCCGTTGCGTAGTTGGCTGCTGGGCTGTGTCCGACATGGCTGGGTGTGGTGGATGGGCGTGGATCTGGCTGATGGTTGAGCTGGGGAGGGACAAAAGAACATTAATTTACAATAGGCTGTGGACAGTAGGCATGTTTAAAATTAATAATGAATTCAGATCAGTTAAGTTCAGATCATTGATGCTGCTGTCGATGTGTTCATGTCATATAATTTACAAAATAACCTCTACCACCATTAAGGTCGTATCATTGTGTTTAACTGCCCTACAGCTGTTCCCGTTTTGATCATATATATCCTACAGTGACCAACAGTGCTTTCAATGTCTATACAGGCATGTGAGCATTGTTTTGAGACAGACTTAAAAAAGGTGTTCATTAAAACATTTATATAAAACATATGAATAGGACTGAAATAGTGTGTGAGCAGGCTTGCCAACATGTGTGGGTAATGCAGCTTATCACTGTACAGCTCTGAGGCATGGCTCAAGGCTCCTTTCAGTGTGCGTGCACACTTGTGCTGCCGCGTCATGGAGAGGGAGGCTCTGGGAAACTAAGTCCAATTACAAAGCCCACCCCAAAAGCAACAGCTCATGGGAAGAGCTCTATCTGACCCCTGATACCACTTGTCTAGACTCTTACACAACTGTACAGAGATGACGGGGGAAAAGACAGCATAAATGAAAGAGTGTTAGAAAGGAAGAGAGGAGTGTTTGTCTCTGAAAAAAAAAACTAGTTTTGGAAGAATGCAGTTTTGATACAACATAAAAAATGTCTCTAAACTAGTATTGTCATGATACCAAAATTTTGACTTCTACACCAATACCAATTTTAGTGTCACGATACTTGATACGGAAATTATACTCAATCACATTTTGTTACACACACCCCCAGAGTCTACTAAATACATTTACAATGAAATCTTTAACTTTCAGAGACATCAGGGCAAATTGCCATAAATCTGTAAGTCATTTACTGAGACAAATGTTAATATATTATGCAGCCTATTATAGACTTGCCCTGCACAATACACGTGTATTATTTGTAAATAGTTCCAAAATTGACAGACATATGTTTTTTTTTTTTAGCAAGGGACATTGTTTTCAATACGGGCAATGTTAGGTCTGTGAAATTGAAGGTGGGAGTGTGCCTTTTTTACTGGCCGTTTTGTGAGACCAGATAGACCCTTTTACTGTTAGTAAACAACAAGATGCCATTCTAAGACGCCTGTTTAGCCTACAGCCCTGTGGTGGCGAGTCGTTTTTGAAATTACGTCATTGTGACACTCATAAAGACCTTATAGAGCCACTGTAGTGTAGAAAAGACATCTTAGCTGGTAGCCCTATGCTATGTAGCTTAACTGTTTTAAAAAGCACCAAAAATGAGGCCCCCAAAATAACTATAGATTCATACATTTCTTATTTTAGAACTAACGTTTTCTTATATGCTTCTCATGCCATTTAAAGTACAGGGTAGGCCTGACATTGACATGCGATGTTAATGATGCACCAACATTACGTATGTCATAATTTAGCAGCTCATCACCATCCTACCAGCTGGCTAGCTAGTTAGCTTATTCGCTAACTTGTAGTGTTTTGTACTCTTTGGTGAGGTCTTGGTGTCTCACTAGTGTGCTTGGCAAGGTGTGAAGTATTTCCTCACTTGCTCGACACAGTTTTATAGCACTGTTTGCATTCAGGCTTCGTTATGACAGTAGGTTTACCATCAAATTCGGCCCTAACATTAGGCAAAGTGTTGTAGTCCCACAGCAGACTTCATCAGCCTGTTTTGTAACAGTACAGGGTGTGGAGGCAATATTTATGAAGATGATATGCTGTTTTTGTCAGCAGCAGAAAAAATGAGGCAAAGACATTGCTTCTCTGTCTCAATCAAAGTTTAAGCTGATGCTGCATTAACGGGGATGAATGCACAGCCACATGTCCTCTGATTTGGACCATACAAATGTCCGACTTGGCTATCTGCTAGCACTGCTGCCTATTGGAGATTCTGCTAAGTTATACATTTCATCCTCTTAACCAGAGATACATTTGACCTACAAGCACTGAACATTGTGAAGTCCTAATACCGAACTGTTTTTGATGAAAAAGTACACAGAGACTGTGCGCATTTGTTCATCTTGGTTCAGTATATCACTTAGTATATTTTACCTCCAAGTGCTATCGAGTACTAACTACTAAGCGAGAGAGATGGAGGCAGAAAAACGCACCTCCTCTGCCAAACCAAACACACACCCTGAAAAGAAGAATAAAACGGAGGCCTGGTTTTTATATATTATGGTAGTATTTAATACCATCCTATTGAGGCCCTAAATATTTTCTTGACCTGAAAGCATCTGGTGTCGGGAGGTGTGGTGAGAATTAACGGGGCAGGGTAGAGCACAACAGAGCCACAGAAAATCAAAGCTGTACCTCAGATGCACGCACACACAGTTGTACTGGGAGGCAAACAGAGTGTGGTCCTGAGCTGTAGCTATGAAACACGACGGGCAATAAAAGCGTCCGTTCGATAACCGCTCGAAGACAGATAACCCATCCAGCCCTGTTTTGATTGGCTGACGGCCGTGGTCACACAACCAATCCAGTGTTATTAAAGATTCTTTCATTCAGCGTTTTCTAACTTTGCTCCAGATGTTTGGCAGGCTGCAGGGCCAGTGTGTGTCTGTGTGCATTAGTGTGTAGGCGTGCATGCATATGCAGGGCCAGTGAGAAAGAGCCATACTTTCTCGTCGAAAGTATGTCAAAAGTCAATACCTGCTGCTCTGCTGTGTTATGTCTCTCTCTCTCTTCCTCTTTTCCTCCCTCACTCCATCTCCTCTCTGCCTGTCTTTCTTTCTCATTGCTCTCTCTTTTTGCACAATGCCGTATTTTAACACTCCGAGCTGGCCAGGATGTAGGTCGGTAAGAGAAGAAGCGGATTAGAGAGAGGGGAGGGAAGCTGTGTGCAGGTTTTCAGTATTCCCTCTCGGTCTGTATTGTCCAGGGGATTGTGAGTTGTTGAGAAATTCATACTTCTTGTGAGTTTGTGGTGTGTGTGTGTGTGTGTGTGTGTGTGTGTGTATGAGAACAGTACATAGGCGGATCTGGCAGAGAAACAGACAGACGGAGAGAGACGAGGAGTCAGGACTGTCTCCAAACAGAGCTTGAGGTTAGACCCACTCACACACACACAAATATATGCATGCAAGAACACGTGCGGACACAGAAAAAACACAAGGTCCCTTTGTCTGAGATCAAGAAAGTAGGGAAGAAAGATGGAGTGAGAAAGAGAGAAAACAAAGTCAAAGAAATGGGTTGCTGCTTGTGCATATTTGGACCAGGAAGATGCATGGGTGTGACTCATAAACAGAATGATTCAGCAGTGGGAGCTAGTTAAAAATAACAGCAAATAAAGAGCCAAATGACTAACATGATGAGACTGGGAAACCGCAGAGTGTGCGGGTGCGGCGCTAACACAGCAGCATCAACCACTGGGGGTCTTAAGACCTCCTTGATGTGTGTGTGTATGTACATGTACGTCTGTGCAGATGTGTTGGGCCGCTGAGCGAGCACAAGTGAGTCACCATCAGTTGAATGCAGCAGCACACACACACACACACACACACTCCATTCACACACCCTCCACCTCTTCCTTCGCTCCTGGCGTCTCGCAGCTACCCTGTACTTACACACCTCCCTCCCAGACCAGAGATCTGCTGTTCATCTCTCTCTCTCTCTCTCTACTTATCCTCTGCTGGAATGAGTCACCAGAGTGACTATGAACTCTGTCTGTCTCTATTCCAGCTGCTTTATCCTGCCGTCTCCTCTGGTGCAGTTTGTCTGTCTATGTAGGTTAAAGTGTTGAAAGTATTGAAATGTCTAAACTACAGACGTGAGATGGTAAGTCACAGAAGTGCAGAAAAATATATTTTTTCCCCTGAGCAAATGTGCACTCCCACATGCAACTTGATTAGTAAACAACACATGGGAAAAAGGATGAATGGATTGAGGGTGAGCGCACCCAAAAATCTGCCTCCTTGCTCACAATACACAAATGAGCATAAATGCTTTTTTGTCCATATTGAGCACAAATGCTGACCAAATGTTTCCTGCTCTCTAAACACTAAAGCAAATGTCGATTGCTTGCAGTGTAATTGTTTTGTCAATGAAGACATATGGCATTAATGATGAAAATAAAGAATGATGTGGGCTTGGCTTGATTGGCGCAAAAGAAGTTCAGTTTCAAAATATTTGCACACCATTTCAAAATCATGTAACCATATTGAAGTGCCTGTAAAACATTTCGCCCCGTCTCCCAGAGACATCTTACCCACTGACTCCGCTCTGGGGTTTTTCTTACAAAGCTGTTTTTAATTGTGAGCCAAAAGTGTCAACTACCAACACTGTGAGAATGGGAAAATGATAAGTTGCTGCTGCAGCTTTCAATGAACTTTTCCCACATTTTTGGCTGCTATACAGCGCTCCAACCAATGCTACAGTGTTAATGAGGCCTGTTTAGTCGCACCCGCTCGCTGTGTTGAAAAAGCACTGTGAACACAGAGTTAAGTCAGATGCACAAGCTTCAAAATTAGGTGTGAGTCACGAAATTGTGACTCACCTTTGGCTGAAATGAAAGGTTCATTCTTGTTACTTTAAATTGGGGAGAAAAAAAGCCATTTGTTTAGAGCAATGACACTCCATTTACAGTCTGCGGGCCAAATGTGGCCCACGATAGGGTGTGTGGTGGCCTGCTGTCCATTTTCTAATTCATCATGAAAAACTGTCCAATTTTTTTTTGTACTTTGGATGTAAATAAGATTCCGAAGTGCTGAGAAAGCATCAAAATAGAGCTTTATAAAGAAGTGCCAGGAGAATCCCTTGCACCCCCCTAAGCCCCTGATGTCCTTAAATCTTATAAAAACACCCATGTACACTTGACCTGTGTGAAGCTGCTTCAACTGAATTTACCTCTTTTATTCATCTTATCTTGTCATTTTGAAAAAGTGGCCCCCGGGCAAAGCAAGTTGATTATCCCTGGTTTAGAGTCTCACCACTTTTACCACACAGTATCCCACCATTTAAATGAAG